GCGGTTCTCTAGAAGATGCATGTGAAGTTTGCAATTTTTACCGACCTTTTTACACTGACGGTTGGTAAAAACGCCAGTGAAAATAGATTTAGATCCGCTAGTACTGATGTTCTGCCAGTGTTATGAAATGGAGCCTCATATCCTGTTGGGCATGTTGTACCATACAATACAAGGAACCTAATAACGATTGAAATATACTTAGTCGCAACAGTATGACTAGCTTGTTACAATTGAAAGCAACTCAAAGTTTAAATATTGCTCCTTTTTCCAACTCAGTGGTTTCCATTTAACATTTGTAAATTGTAGCCTAAAATGGTATTTCGATTCATTATGGCACAAATGGTCCGCCTTTGACCCCAAAAATTCACAAAAAATTAGTTCCATCTTTACAAAAAGAAACATGCCACCTTAAATAATGAAGTTGCGCCCACGCACAAAAAAAATGTTCAGTTTCATTAAAAAGATGTTCCGATTTAAATAGAAAATATTCTACGTTGTCAATCAATACAAAAAATATTCCAACATATTACATCACAAGAAAACTATTCCAACTTAAACAAAAAAAAAATATTCGAGCATGCCAAGAAAATGAGTTGACCCATTATCACTATATTCCCTACACGCTAATAATTAATGTGAGCTAGAGGAATAGGCCATTCTATTAAATTTAAAGGATATGGCAGCCTGGCAGGGCTCATGATGCACCAACTTATCAAATATATATGTGTGGTGGTTTCTCAAAGCCAACACCCTATAAGTGTCGTTGAGTTTAATTTGCTTTGCGGCAGAAATATTGATGGTTCATTCGTTGTGCTCGTGTACAAGGAAGTGTAAGACGATAATCAAACCTACACATGCATGCATGGAGTATATAATCGTAGGAAATTAAATGTCCCTAACAACCGTAAGTGTATTAATTAAGTGAAAAGAGGGGACAATAGTGGATGTGAGTAGTGGTAACAGCAGCAGTAAACATCAATTTCATTAGCATGGAGTTTACGGTATAGTATGACATTCAGCGATGATACACCTTTGTACCATGTGTAATGGATACGTGTACCCTTTTTAGTTAAAGTCTTCCTTGCATGTCATCTTTGCTTGTTGCCTGAGGGAAAGAATATTATTCTTTTGGATTTATAGTTGGAGTGTTGAAACTTGAAAACAGCTAAGAAAAGGGAAATTGGTCGCTAGGATAGTACGTCCATCCTTTACCTGCTGGATATCTTATTTTACTATTACTAATTAGATGTCCCAACGGAGAAATCACGTTAATTCTCACCAGACGCGCTAGGAAAAAAGATAAATCCTAAAAGTTATCGCAATAATCTATTAATTAGAAGCCCCAGTGGATGCACCACGTGAATTCTCACCAGACGCGCTAGGAAAAAGATAAATCCTAGAAATTCTCACAATAATCAGAAATATCTAGCCTTTGATTTTTTTTAATGAAGACACTCAAACGAGTGTCACATCTAGTAAATCTCAAGGAAAACAAAGTCTGATACAAAAGATGGACAAAAAGACACAAAACAACCTCTAAAAATAAGAGTGCATCAAAAACCAAATCGATCGTCTTCTTCCTTCGAACGTCCACTGCCTACCGACGTTCGAAGATCGTACTGTACGTGAAGACAGCAAAGAAAAAGGACACCTGCAAACACCCTCGTCAAACAAGGCCTAGAAGACCGAAAAAGCCACCCACCACATATAACGAGATCTAGTACCCACTTAAACAACATCGGCTGAAGGAAACCTCCAAAGGACGTGGGCTTACAATCCTTCACCATCAGAAACAGCGTGTTGAAGATGCCGGACCTTGCTGTAGAACATATCAAAAGAAGAGATCGAAATCGCCATATCGAAAGCCAACCAACTGCTTCCACTGATAAGCACACAACAAGCCAAGATCTGAAGAAGAAGAATAGATCTGACAAACCAAACTCTCACTAGCCCTTCACCGATGCTAGATCAAACATCATCAAGGAGAAGCCAGAGAGATTATTGCAAGCAATCATCACCACCACCACCTCGACAATGACACGAGAAACTAAAACCTAGATCAACAATGGTCCACAAACCTAACCAAGAACTATGAAGGGGAAAGAGATCGGTCCCACTCCTCTGTCCACCGATGAGATCACTGGTTAGGAGAGAGGAGGGGGACCGAGCGGGGTCGAGGGCGGCGGCGGCGGCGGTTGGGAGCGCGACGCTCGTATGCGCGTAGGAGAGGGTAAATACCCGGTCTTTGATTTGATAGACTCTAATCATCGTCAATGATACTAGCCATTAGATCTACTGTAGTTTATTAAAAAATTACCCACCACTACCATTATGAAAAATACATAAAGTACCCCCTAATTTAAATTACTCACCTCTGCCATTACAAAGCATAAATCAAAATAACCCCTATATTTGTATATAAATTATTACCCACATCAACCATTATAAAAAGTAATTCAAACTAACCCCTAAATTTGCATCTAAATTACCCACCTTGACCATTATAAAACATAATTTAAAATAACCCCTAACATTGCGTCTAAATTACCCCGATTTTTGTCTTGAAATAATCCTCTAACTTTGTATCTAAATGACCCACATCTACCATTATGAAAAAATTTTAAATATATACTAACAATTTTATAAAATATCCACCTTTATCGTTTTTATAATTACTAATTAGAGATCCCCCAAGGGAGGCGCCACGTTAATACGTGTACCCTTTTAAAAGTTTTCCTTGCCATCTTTGCTTGTTGCCTGAAGAAAAGATCAAAAGAATATTGTTCTTTGGATTTGTAGTTTGGAGTGTTGAAACTTGAAAACAGCTAACAAAAAAATCGGGGGAATCCGTCGCTAGGACAAGTCCATCCTTTATCTGCTGGATATATATACTGGTTCATTCGAACACAGAGGTTGAGTGAAAAGACGAAATTTAAAATATTTTATTTAGTTTTTTTTGTAGTATTTTAAATGTTGAGAAGTACCGGTAAATAGCATGGTTATCAGGTTAGGCACCATATATATATCCATACAATGAGTGGAAAGTCATGAATGAATTAACACCCAAGAAACAAAATGTGCTCAAGAGTCAAGAATTCATATATATATATATATATATATATATATATATATATATATAGTCGAAAGGAGCTAGGGTTTTGGTATGTTCTTTTTTTTATCTATGGATCGTTGCAAAAAAAAGAAAGAAAAAAGAATTGACATTTTTTGAACTCGGACGGGCAAAAGCTTGTAAAATGCTGCTGTTTATCACCCTGTTTGTTTGATCGTTTCTGTGGCTTATAAGCCGGCTGATGCTGTTTTGTTGTGAAAGAAAAACACTATATCATGGCTGATAAACATGGTTGAAGCGAATATAATAACCACTGTATATGCCGTAATAATTCTTGGCTAGTGCGTGGCCAGCACAAATAAAATCGTTGGACTTGTCCTTGTCACCGCAAACCAATGCAAAATCGCGATCTCTCCGCACGTGCACCTTTGAACCTGCTTTGACACTGGTACAGAGACGGGCTTTACTCCCGGTGGGGAACCCCTCTAGTCTCGGTTTCCCACTCGGGAGCAAGCATCCGGGAATAAAGGGGATCTTTTAGTCCCGGGTCAGAAACCGGGACTAAAGGGGGACCTTTAGTCCCGGTGGGTAACACCAACCGGGACTAAAGGTGCCTCCTGACATGCCACGAGGCCGGCACCCTTTAGTCCCGGTTGGTAACCTCAACCGGGACTAAAGGTTTTTTTTCTTTTTTTTTGTTTCTATTTCTATTTTCCTTTTTTTTCTATTTTCACGCTGCTACCAGTTTTTTTTGTTTCTATTTCTATTTTCCTTTTTTTCCTATTTTTAATTGATGATTCGTTTTGGTTTTTGAATATGCATTCTACACTGCTAGAATATACGTACGTTTATAATGTTCAACATTTTATATAAACTATAGTACGAAGGACCTTTAGTCAAGGATCAGCGGTACAATCCTGTTCAAGTTCGTACTGCTTGGTTCGAGAGCTGAGCTTTTAAGTTAGCTTTCACTTTTCTGAGCAAGCGAAGTGGTGCTAATAGGTGGGACTGGCCAGCAATTCCAGCATATTGCGTACTGGGCCGGCCCATCGAGGCTCCTGTAAACGCCCGGGACTAAAAGACCTTTAGTCCCGGCTGATAATACCAGCCGGGACTAAAGGTACTAAAGGTATACCTTTAGTCCCGGCTCGTAATACCAGCCGAGACTAAAGGTACTAAAGGTATACCTTTAGTCCCGGCTCGTAATACAGTCTTCGTTTTCAGTGTCAGCAATAAATGCAAGCAGGTAAATGCAAGCCGGGACTAAAGCTCGTAAATGCAAGCAGGTAAATGCAAGCCGGGACTAAATCTCGTAAATGCAAGCAGGTACAAGTAAAGCACCGGGACTAAAAGTTCAGTGCTGGTCATCAGCTCGTAAATGCAAGCAGGTACAAGTAAAGCACCGGGACTAAAAGTTCAGTGCTAGTCATCAGCTCATAAAGCACGGCAATAAATGCACTAAAACTTAGAGGACTTTTAGTCCCGGTTGGTGGCTCCAACCGGGAGTAAAGGTCCACCTTTAGTCCCGGTTGGTGTCTCCAACGGGACTAAAGGTCTCCTGCCATCGCGTTTGAGCGCAGATAGCCGTTAAGCGAGGACCTTTAGTTCCGGTTGGAGACACCAACCGGGACTAAAGGTTTCTCTAGTCCCGGGCGTAAAAAATGCCGGGACTAAAGCCAAATTTCGAAGTAGATTAAAAGTCGTTTCTCTACTAGTGTGATTAATTTCTCTTTGCCATGCATGCATGCATAATGCATATGCCTTTGCGTGCTGTTGGCCGCCAAAGAATATTACTGTCTTGCAGCGATATGGATGCATGGACCTGGACGACTATATATACCACCAGAAGGCCAGAACCCGGCCATAGCAAACAAACTACCTCTCCTACTGTAAATTAAGCAAGCAGCATCGGTTTTACAGTAGTAGGACAATGGCCGCGGTGGCATCCCCCCCTAGCGAAAGCGAGCAGGCGGCTGCTCGTGAGCCAAAGCCAAAGCCAAAGCCAACACCAACCCCCCCACCTTCCTGCCCGCGGGCCACACTCGATCCGCAGCTGTTCATGGCTGCTCGCTGTGGTGACAGCAAGCGTCTCAAGGATCTGCTCGAGCTCAAGGACGACGACGTCGTCGAGGGCGAGCAAGCCACACGGAATGCCGCGGCCACATCTGTAGCGGCGGTGGCAGAACAAGTCTCTATAGATGTGGAAGTTGATCGTCATTCGGGCGCGCCGCTAGTCCCGGTAGTCCTTGATGAGGATGAGATGACGACCATAGAGGGGGACTCCCTGCTGCACGTGGTTGCAGCATGCGGCGACGGCGAGGACTTCATCGACTGCGCCAAGATGATCGTCCGCGACTACTACGGGCACAAAGGCGGCGGCGGTGCTGCTGCGATGCGCCTAGCACTGGAAGCGCCTAACAACAAGGGCGACACGCCCCTGCACTGCGCTACCCGTGCTGGGAACGTCAACATGATGTCTTGCCTCGTCGATCTGCTGACCGAAGCCACCGCCGCCGACGAGGCGGCGGTGAAGAAGTTCCTGAGAAGGAAGAATAGGTGTGGGGAGACCGCGCTGCACCAGGCGGTCCGCGCCGCCAGCAAGGCCGCCATCGACAAATTACTTTCCGTGGATCCGGTGCTGGCGTGCAGCAGTAGCCGGGCCCGGGAGGAGGATGCTCATGCTGGTGCTGCTTGCTCCCCGTTCTTCCTGGCCGTTTCATTATGGGGTGAGCATGATGAAATGGATATCGCACGCCATCTCTTCGTTAAAACAAGGCGTAGCATCAGAAGCGAGCTATCCTACTACTGCTCCGGACCAGATGGACGGAACGTCTTGCACGCGGCTGTTTCACGTGCTAGCGTGAAAACAGTTGTTCTACTCTCGCAGCTGCTGACGGGTGCTGCTGCTGCCAGCGCCAGCGTGGGAATGGAAACAGCACCTGGTCTGCTGCTACTCTCGCAGCTGGCCAGCCAGAGGGACAAGGAGAACGGGAGCACACCTCTTCACTTGGCTGCATCCCTGGATGGCTTGCCGTCGTCACTGCTAATTTTTCCTCCCCAACTTCTGCCGCCACCGCCAGGGACCACACCGCTTTGGCCATTATTGGGCACGGATGCAGCAAGCGTGAGTGTCCACAAGGTGGTGGCTCGGCTAGTTTTAGGCGGGAGCCGCTACTCGCAGATACTCCCGCTTATGCTATCCCTCGTGCTGAATGCTAACGTGGCCATGGCATATCAGCCGGACAAGACAGGTCTGTACCCTATACACGTCGCTGCAGGGAGTGGCAGCCTCCGCGTCGTGGAGATGCTGCTGAAGAGGTGCCCGGACTGCGCCACCCTGCGGGATGCCAAGGGAAGGACGCTCCTCCACGTCGCTGCAGAGGAGGGTCGCTACAACGTGGTCAGATATGTGTGCCGCCAGAGCCAGAGCCAGAAGCAGAGGCAGAGCCGACGTGCCCGTCCGGGTTCAGCTGCTGCAGCTGCAGCTGCAACTGCAAGGCTAGCAGGTCTCTTGTCCTCGATCCTGAATGCTCAGGACATGAACGGGGACACTCCACTGCACCGCGCTGTCCATGCTGCCCAGCTTCGAGTCGTCCTACACCTTATTCGGAACCAGCAGGTGCGCTTGGATGTACCCAATAATGTGGGCATGAGGCCTATTGATGTTTCATGGACGACCTTGCCACTAGAGGCCTATTACGCATGGGTAAGTAATTTAATTATATCTGTTAATAGTAATGATTGTTAATTTAGCTCCTTATTACTCATCATTATTATCTGTCTTGCGACTCTGCCTTCTGATGCATGCATGGCCATTTATTTGTTTGTTTTGTTATTTTCTGTTTTGCAGGATCAAAGATTATGGATACGAAGATCACTGTTACGATTAGGAGCTCCCTATGGTGAAAATAATCGGGGCGACCTGTTCCGCAAAAAATGCGTCCTCTCCAACCAAGACGACGAGAAGAAGATGTCGGAGAATCTAACAGCTGCAGCACAAGTTCTAGCCCTTTTCTCCGTTCTCATTACAACCGTGACATTTGCATCAGCTTTTACGTTGCCCGGAGGCAGCCGATCAGCCGGCGACGGCACTGGTGGTGGTGTCGCCGGCACACCGGTGCTTGGCGGGCCCCGGAGGAGCTACGCTTTTGATGCGTTTATCCTCGCCGACGCCCTGGCGTTTGGCCTCTCTCTCTTGGCTACCTCCATCCTGCTCTATGCCGGGGTGCCTGCTGGGAGCCTACAGGGACGCTTCCTTCTCATTAATTTTGCATACGGCTTGATGTGGCATTCTGGAAGGAGCCTGCTGGCTGCGTTTGGCCTGGGGCTCTTCGTGGTCCTGCTTCCAGTTGCCCGCTCCATTGCAATTGCGGTCGCTGTCTTGATGATTGCTCTTGCAGTTGCGATCCTTAAGGAAAGCGAAGGCATCATTTCTCTGGGTGACATTCCTATAATTGGAATTGGCAGAAGTCGACAACTGTCACCACGCGACCGAGTGTTAGGCTCGATTCTTTTTGTCTTCGGCCACTTCTGGTCCTACGTACTAATCTTTGGCTTCCCAGCAATTCGAAGGTGGCCAAGGTTTACCTTAAGTCCTTACTAATTCCTTAATAAGTATATATACATGCATGATGCATCTATCGAGATGTCCACGTTCATGTGTGTGTGTGTGTGTCAGTGTGTGTGTACGCGTGCGCGCTTGTCGTCTGAGTGTGTTAATAAGCAGTGTAATATACCAAGCTGTTGCTTCCTAGCTACTGTATATGATCATTTCGGTACTGATTCTGTTGTTTATATATTATTATATCCCATGTCTCGGTGCGATGTACAAATTAAACTCAGTTTTCCTATTGTTATGCTTATAAATGCCGCATATTAGGATCATTACGTACATAATGATGTGATAAATGTTAATACTATTCTATATAAATCTGATCACATTTTAGGATAGTTTGGCTTGGAACAAGCGTAGATCCCTTATATTTCAGGACGATTAAAGTAGTCGTGCAACCGTGATTGTGGGAAAACTGAAGTAACAAATGAAACAAGCATGGACCCGGAAGTGACAAGGCACAACTACAATATAAACGCAGCTGTCGCGCGCACTTTGAAACATCACAATGGGCGCCTAGGACAAGCTCACTAAAGAATGTGGACTTCCGTGCTAGGCAAGATCTTTCCATCAAGGTATAGTACTTTCTGGCAGCAGCTCGCATATCCACGTATTCTGACTCCCTACGGAAACAACGACCTACCTGCTTCTTCCTCGGATCTATAGTCAAAACCTTCAGGTCAGGAGCATTTTCCACTATATGTACCAGGAACTCAAGCTGTCCCTTGACCGAATTAAACCCGGTAAGAAGCACGTTCCTTAGACACTCTTGTATGAACTGCCGGGAAGCCTCTGTAAAGTTCCCCATCCTGGGCCTTCCAAGAGTGCAAGAAGATTAAACTGCATACAACAATACAACAGTACGTATGATCAGCATATTTGCAATGAAGCTATATATGATCCCTAATTCCTATGTCAAAAAAAAAATTCATTCCCACTTCTGAGCTGTCAGTCTGTCACCATAGGTTCTGTACAATTTTTTTGTCCATTCAGTCTTTGTAAATGATGGAAGTATTTCATAAATGATGAAATCTCCACTAATTAAATGGCAGACAAAATCTTCAACTTAATCAGAGAAAATTAGTGCTATATGTCCACTAATTTCACACTTTGTAATTGCTTCTCACCCTTTCTAGCGGAACCAGATAGAAATGAGACATGTTTTTGCAACTGTAAGTACAAATCTTAGGTAACCAACTAACAACTGGTGACAAGTTTATTATAAGCATAATAATCTAAATAATATAAAGTACACCAGCAGTCCTTAAAAGGTTTCCATAGTGTCACATGTGTGCAAACTCTCGGAATGCAGATTTGGGTCCCTAAACTTGTAAGTATGCCACCTCAGATCCAAATCTCCATAATTAGCATATACTATCTGCCTATGTGTTATGCCAGCATAGATCCAGACAAGTTGGGGCCCTGTAGCAGCATAGTTCCCAAAAAAAGAATTAAACTATGTAGTCCATGCTGTTGCATGCTAGGCATCTGAATAGTAATTAGTTGATTTCTTATATGGGCAAAAATATAATATAGATAGTACTACGTAATATAAAAAATATAATTTGTGGTGAATTTACATAGTGGTGTAATAAAGAAATCAGAAAAAGGAAATCTCAAGGTAAAGTTACCGACGAAATACATTTGAAAGGGATCACGTCTATCAACCCAGAAGGGTACTTACATGCACCTCCAGTTCCTCGAGGAAAGGGGAAGCTCTCAGGAAAGATACCAATGAGAGAACATTAGGAGTGCTTCTAGTATCAATTAAGAGCAACAATCGTAAAATTTTGAGCTGATAAAAATGCAAATTCTGTCCAGCAATAAGGGCGTCTGAAAGAAAGAAATGAAACGGTTAGGCAAAAACAAACTTCAAGAGGTACTAATAACGACTCTTAAGACTGGCGATGTGCTGCAAGAACATACCTCTAAAGGTAGATAAGTGTCCAAAGTGAAATTTTTTACACCCGTAAGAACGTTTGGAAGCACAGTGAGGGCATAGTTAAGAGTGAGACCATACAAATAAACTTGTGCTGTCTCTAGTTGCTTAACTTGACCAAGGTCAATAGGTACTCGTGCTCCATTGTATTCAAAAGTCTTAAGATTTTCTGCTTGTAACTCTATTTTCGTTATACTGCAATCCACAATACTCAAGTACATTAAACGGTCCAATGGTTGTTTCACTGTTAGCTCATCTTTCATGCAACATCTACTTAAGCTCAACCACGTCAGAGTAGAGCAACCAGCTAACATATCTTCAAGATTCTTTCTAGATACAGAAAATAATTGCAGATCAAGCTTCTTCAGATTTGGGAAACCCATAAACTGGGAACCTGGTTTGAAGGATACACAACTAAGCTGAAGATGTTGTAACCGTGATATGCTTGCACTGTCAAAAAGTTCAACGGGGAAGATATACATATCCTCCTCACCTATGAACTCAGCTGGCAGTAAATCCAATGCTAGATTCTTTGTTAGAGATGACACAGCAAAACTGATCCAATTATTCACCTATGAAGGGATACGGGCTTGATAACGCTCCCACGGCCTAGTCAAGCCCTGGAGTTCGAAGGTTAGCCCACCGACAGGTTCACAACCGCTCCGGGGCGCCTTTAGACTGAGGAGTGGAAAGGGATGGGCCCGCTAACGACCAGTACCCGGGCGCACGAGCGCCACGGGCATCCCAGTCCACGTTCGAGTCTTGATCGGTTCACAGTCCATAGTTTTTCCTCGAAGAAAGACAGCGAGCCCTTGGAACCGGTCGAACGGACCCAAGAACTATATGGACTGGCCGCCGAGAGTTTGGAGTCGGTCACCAGCTGACCCATGCCGGACCCCCGCGAAAGGGAAGCCGGGGCCTCACTCGGACTAGCCTGTTAACAGCTCATCGAGCACCATGATTCGTCCATCGAGGAAAACATGACACGGCTCAGCCCCTCCGTTTTATCAAAAAAACGCTTGAGGGATGACGATCACAAGACGAGCCGACCCCTCGACCGGACCCCTGCTACGCGCAGGGGCTCGGGGGAAGTTGGACTTGCATGGAGACCGAATACGCGGTCGTAGGACGACGGCGGATCAATCGGATCCTCGGGAGGGATCAGAATCAAGAAAAATCTTTTCCGACCCCCCGAATCCCGCAGCTACGTATTTCCAAGGGGTCCGGTCGCGACAGAGGGGAATCGCAACCCTATGAAGACACCCCGTGGGCTACAAAGAGAGACCGAGGCAATCCTCCCGACTGAAAAAGCCTCTAAAGGAGTATACCACTCCTCCGCAGGCTCGGGGGCTACTGTCGGGTATCGATATTAGGGATACCCGGAGGGCGGTAGTTAATGGCCATGAACGATTAAATCGCTCGGATGGTCCAAGGTGTATTTAAGGTCTCGCCCAACCCCAAGGTCGTGGACTGCGTCTCGCTCGACCCCGAGGGCATGGGCCCCATCTCGACAGACCCCTTGGGCGCGGGCTCCGTCTCGCCCGACCTCTTAGGCGCGGGCCCCGTGTCGTCCAACCCCAGGGTGTCGGGCTCCGCATCGCCTGACCCTTTGGGTGCGGGCTCCGTCTCGCCCGACGGGGACCCATACCGCCTCCAACCACTACGGCACTGAGGGCACGAGCCCAGGGTCAAACCTCTGACACTGGGAGGAAAGCAGGCACGTCTCGACGTGACCCGTGGCCATGACGGGCCATGCCTGGGGGATCACATCGCCAACTGTGTCGGGCATGCCCGCGCTGTGCTACCTAATCCCGTACGAGCACTGACAGGCACGTCAGTTCACCACGCCGTCCGCCGGGATGGAATGAAATGCCACGACCAGCTGATGACATCGAGGCATGGCACCAGTGGTCAACAGGAGCCTGACGTGGAGCTGTCTCCGTCACCATCTACAGGACCACGCGGGGCCGCATAAAGGAGAAAAGGGACGTCGCGACCCAGGAGGCCTTCTTCTCCCTAGTTTTTCTCCCTCTCTCTCGTTTTCTCTCTGTAACCTGCGTCTTCCCCTTCGCCTATAAAAAGGGAAGCAGGACACCCCGTGAGGGACACGTCCACACGAGCACGTAGACGGTTGCACGAGCGCCTAGACGTCTGCACAAGCAGATAGAGCGCACGAGCACATGACCGAGCAAACTCGACAACTCTCAGCACTCTTTCGATCCTTTCACCAGAGACTTGGGACCTTCTTCCTCTCTCGCCCGTTTGTAACCCCTACTACAAACTTGTGCCGGTAACACGAGCAGCTGTAGACTGGACATAGGGACATTTCGTCCGAACCAGTATAAACCATTGTGTCCTCCGAGCACACCATTCGAGTCAGACGCGCAGATACAAATTTACTGGCCGGTGATCCGAAAACACCTGTAAAACAGCTTTTCATAGTAGAGGAAGCTAATAAGAGAAGTAGGTATTTTGAGCTTCATTCATCTAGTTTTCATCCCCGGTAAAGACGTGATTTTAAGGAGCTCGCTCCACTTGAGTAGCTGTTCTATTTTAATGTGTTTGACAAAAAAAATGCCAAACCGGGACCTTATTAATCACCATGCATGCATGCAGGGCTGGCCAAGATTTTGGAATGGTTCAATGGGGGCGGTGTGGTGGGCGTGCCTGACGATCTCGTCTCGCAGATGGCTAGCCAACGGGACAAACATGAGAAGGGGAGCACCCCTCTTCACTTAGCCGCGTCGTTGAACGGGTGGCCACACGCGGGGTTTCTTTCCACACGGTTTCCACAAGTTTGGCCAGGGTCGGAAGCAACCGCTAGACTGCTACTGGATGCTAACGAATCCACGGCTTACCAGGCGGACGATGAAGGGTCGTACCCCATACACGTCGCTGCATGGTCTAACAGCCTCGGCGTCGTGAAGACGCTGCTGGAGAGGTGTCCGGACTGCGTCACTCTGCGAGATGGCAAAGGACAGATTTTCCTCCATGTTGCCGCTGAGAAGAGTTGTCACGATGTGGTTCGATATGCCTGTAGACAAATGCCAAAACGGTTGTCATCGATGATTCTCAACGTGCAGGATAGCAACGGGGACACAGCTAGCGCTGCACGGTGCTGTCCACAGAAGCGACGCAGATGATGAGCATTGTCAGTGCTCTTATTGCGACTGTCACATTCGCGTCAGCTTTCACGTTTCCTGGAGGCTATCGAGCCGACGGCGAGCCAGTGTTTGCTGCAGGGAAGCAGAGCTATGCTTTCAACGCGTTTATCCTCGCCGACACGTTGGCATTCATCTGCTCCATCTCGTCTACCTGTGCACTTGTCTATGCCGGGTTACCGGCTATGGACATCTCCATACGTTTCTAGTACTTAAGCATTTCGTCGATTTTGCAGCAACGAGTTTTGTGACCGCTTTTGGCCTTGGACTGTGTACCTCGTCCAGGCTCCGGTTCACCATACTAGTGCGGCTGCTGCCTACGTGAGTGTTTTAGCATCTTTGCCCTTTTATTACTGGTAGTATGCCCGTGCTAACGCTACGGCTATATTCGGACACACAACTTAACACGCCATGATGCCAAAAAAAACTAAGATCCAGGAATAATATATACCTTTTCATTGAAATTTACTTAAAATTTCTTCAAAAACAAAAGATATATAACTCGAAATTTCTTCAACAATTACATTGCAACTCCACTAATATAATAAAACCAAATACTTTAAAACTCTTATTGAGAAAATTGATCTACAGTTTTTTGAAAGATTAAAATGATGTCAGACACCGTGTACCCCTCTGGCCAACAGATTTCGTTGTCCCTCGCCCAATCAACTTCAAGTTTCATGCCAGCTCATGGAGCCTTTAAGATAGTTCAGTTCCTGTTGTAAGCAAAATGCTATTAATTATTTTACTAACGAATATCCAAGATTAGAGGTCTGCAAACGCAAGAACTCTAGGACAAGATTAGAGGGCTACAACCAATTATAGAGATGAATACAAGAACTACACTAATGGTTTGCTCATTATTAATTGAGGACAAGCAGCATCATGTTCAAATATTAATGAGAAATTTAATCAGCTGAAATATTAAAAGCAGCAACTAAAAGAACAATTTTTACATGAGAAAATAAACTTTGAAGATGATGATATGAAAACCTAGAAACACCATTCCGTATTTCCCAAACTCACGTTGGTTGTGTCGGCAAGCATAGAGCAAAATCAGACTTCTGGTCGTACACTACCGCCACTGCCTCTAGATCCAGCCACACCCCTCCTCCACCTCTGCTACCTAATTAGTAATATATTAGATATTAGATAGATGTGAAACCTCCAGAAATCCTTTATATGTCACAAGTATGTACTTTTAGTTTCAAAGTCAAGAAGAGCATCACACAAGATACTCCATCCTTCGTGAAATGCATGGTGACCTAACTGAATCAGATGCAAGATTCTCCTTTGGAACATTGACAGTCAAAACATATTCCATATGTCCTAACCGAATGGCAGAACATTGAGCCCTCTTTTAGTATGAGTTACTAATATTAACAATACTGTACATTCATTGAGAAAACAGGCCAAATATAAGTTATGGCTTTCAGCTTTTCTCAAGGTTCCTCCCCTTCTTGCTTAGCCACTAAATCCTTTGGCCCACTATTCTTAGCTTTTGGGAAAGCCAGCCGCTAAGGGGCTTAGCCCGCTTGACCAGAAATTATTAAAATGCTCTGGAAAGAAATATGAAGGTTAAACTCCTATACTACTCAGCTATACAATACAGTACAAAGACATATATATAACATACAAACATCTAAATTATGTCTCAGCCGGCTTATCAGCCGTACTGCGGCTTATTCCCTCTTACATAACATTATTGAAACAGCCAAAATCAGCCGTGAAAACCATCAGCCGAAACAGGTCGATACTACTCTGCCAAGCATTTACATGTTCTGAAAACAACAATTTCATTAGTCATTTGAATAAATGAGAATGGTAAAATTTAAGAGGAAAGAGATAATACCTTGTTAACAAGATTCTCAAACGTTTTTGCTCCATTTTGCTCAATGTATCTCTGTGCAGCTGAAATTACATCATCAGGCCTACTTGATTCATCCTTCTTTGGAAATTACCAGATGTTCACAAAATGCTCATATGCATGTGCAGCTCCATTGAACTGTGGCAATACTAACCAGCAATTGAAAAACAGTTTTGCGTAAGACAAGAAATGGAGCCTGCAAAGTGCAAAAGTTATGCTTGTGATGAGCATTTCCATCATGATATGATGTATCCAAGAATCTTATCAGCCATATCATGAGATAGCAGTGATTGATGAAGTGAGTAGTAAACCAGAGATGGTCAATAGGAAAGAAATCAAGGTAAGATGAAATGTGCACATAAAACTAAAGCTAAAATGAGTAGAACACCTAGTACGTGAGCCATTGCTGATCATACACTGCAGATTTGTTTCAGTTGCTCTAACGGAGGCATACCTGTGGAAAACGTCCAATGAGGTAAAACAGAAACAATAACTATCAAATTAAGACAGTTAGCGTCTATATGTTATCTAAAAGGTTACTGGATTAACTTACAGAGGATACGCAAGTGAAACTACAGGCCTGCAAAGACAAACAAATAGAGGATTAAAAATTCGCAATAACCTGTTGGAAATCTGAACAGATAATAAGTGCCGTTGGCAACAAAACTGACACCACAAAAATAAGGTTGCCTTGATATTATCCCCCAGAACTACAGATGTTCCAAGTCCCATTACTTCATCTGACAACCAACAGCACTGCATCAGAGATCTGAATAAAGTTTCGTTGCAAAATGAGATCTGAACAAAAGGGTATAAACATAGCATAATCGGTTGTGACTGAATTTATTTTACATATATACTTAAGCTCTATGTATTCGCATCATAGCAGCTGATCTATTAATCCGACAAAGACCAGAAAGCAGACACAAGGGCCAGCGTGCATCTTGTTTGTAAGCGAACTGAGCAGCACAGTTCAACAGGCATAGGTACAACACAGGGTGCGTGAGGGATGGCCTCGGCCTGAATCCTGTTCAGCGCCGCCCCTGGCTCGTGACTCATGAGCAAACCTGGAGTGACGGAGGCGTCGCCGGAGCTGATCTTTAGCCGTCCAGTCGGTGCGGCAGTGGGCAGCAGGCTTACTCGGACTCCTGTGGCCTGCGATCGGTGCGGCGGAGGCACGATGGACGCGGCGTCGGCCTTCCCTCTCGGTCCTTCTGATCGCGAAGGCGGCGGCCCCAATCAGCGGCGAGGCGGAGCTCCCCGGCAGGTGCCCTCCCGTCCTTCCCTCTCGGCCCCCCAGATCCTGCAGGAGGTGGCCCCAAGCAGCGGCGAGGCCGGAGCTCGTTCGACGGTGGGTTTTTTTCGGTCATGATCATAGGCTTCGTGGTTGGACAAGAGTTGAAGCGCGGGGTATCGCGTTGAAGCCGCGTGCGTTGAAGCGCGTTGAAGCCTAAAATCGATCGTGGCCATAGGATTTGGTCGAAGCCTGGAAGAGATGTTTTTTTAGCTTTTGATTTTAATGATGATGATTTTCTGTGTGTGATTTTCTAGGTGCATAATGTTTGGAGGCTCTCAGCGGAAAACATTTTTCTAAGTAAACCTAGTATAGTTTTGATTGGTTCATTATAGTAGAGATGTGATCGTAGGAGCGTGACGATCCATCCATATGGAAACCACGGTCCTCGCTCGAATTGGAATTCGACGATATGCGGTACGGACTTACCCAGCAAGGCTATTATTATTTAGAGTCTTGGTACACTTCGGGCCCTACATAATAATCTTTGGCTTCCCAACAACTCGATCGATCGCACCAAAGACAACTCTGAAGTGGACCTAATCGCATTATAAGACGGATCGGAGTCACCATTCCTTTTACTACGAATTCATCATGCTATAGGTTTTTTTTTTTGACTAATTCATCATGCTATAGGTCTCTATGTCCTGTTCGCTTGGCTGATAAACTATGGAAAGTACTGTTGACTGATTTGTTGTGAGAAAAAAATACTATTCATTAGCTGAAAAAGTATGACTTATAAGCTAAGCGAACAGGGCACTAGTTTTTCCTCTGCACAATATATTATCAATCATATGTACCGAAATATCATTGCTGTACGTACCATGCAATTTATCAACAACTGTTTCTCAATATATTGCACAAATTGCGGTGGAAACACTTCTGATTGTGTCGTGGATAAACCGTTTTGCTGTGCCAAATTCCAAATTATTAGACATTTTGGCTTTTCAAGATACATGTGCCAAATATATAGTTCTAAGTACAAAGCAAAAACTATATATCTATAGAACGCAAAACCTCTTATAATTTGGAACGAAGGCAGTACATAATAATATATTCGGACTCCCAGCAATTCTGAAGTGGGCGTCAATTTACAAGATGAGCTATGCTCAGTAGTATTTGTAATACCTTCAGTCTGTTGAATATTAATTAGCACGTGTACTCAGTACTGATGTACCAATAATTTACCAAAAAAAAACTGCATATCATATGTCGCACATCAACCACAACACAAGGCGCACTGGTCTCCTTTCCCTTTCCTTGTCTGGAATAGGGGTTCAAAGCATCATTTGGACTTGAGACAAGGCATACGTTTAATTTAAACTCTTTTTTCATACCACAGTACAATAATGGTCTCACTCATACACAAACATAAAAGGTTCCCCACTTTAACAAGCCCTGACATACATACACAGCACGGAGGATATTTAAACAGTACATGGCTGTAGCATCACTTCATGTACCTCTGCAGAAACTTGCGGTGGAAATCACTCCTGATGGTGTCATTGATGAGCCGTTTTGGTGTCTTGGTCTCTCCTCGTGCCTGGTTCTTGAATACCACATCGTCATCCCACCTGCAACCCACAAATGCCCAACCAGATCAGCCTCGCCACAAGCCACTGTGTATATAACACAAGCTGACTACACCATAATCCTACCTTCTCTTAACACTGAAGGAGCCAGGATTGTTGATGTTGATCAACGGGTTCCCCCGCATCAGTTCAGCTTCCTTCATCTTTGCCTCTTCCTCTGCTTGTTGCCGCTCCTGCAATTGAATATATTCACATATATATAAACTAAATAACTATCACCTGGAAGGCTGGAAATCAAGGATTCATGATAGAGATGCAAAGGCAACAGACCTTTCTGAGCTTCTCCTCGGCTCTCTCTTAATCCTCTCAAGCTCTGCCATTAGAGCTTCAGTGTCATCATCGTCATCGTCATCATCTTCATCGCTGGACACAATTTGCCACTCAATGTGTAAGAGACCAAACATAGTCAAAGCAGAAGTGTACTAAATCACGAAAACACAAGCCAAAATAAGATATTCGTCCTATAAACAATGTCACGAAAGATGCTCCCTTATTTTCTTCGCCCATTTGAAGTGAAGGCCTTATCACAGGAAACTAAATGTGCTACTAATTGTAGGCAATGCACAATAATGGGAAATATCGACCACTCCACATGTGCGTAGCCTTATGGCTATACAAAGTTTTACTGATTGTGACAGAAAATAAGTTCAGAACCATTCTACAAATTAGTTAACGCAGTTGCAAGGCAAGTCGAGCCTCCTAACATAAGAAGAATCCCAGCAGCAATTCGCGAGGGCAAGGTTTGTAAACCACTCATCACTGAGAAGGGCAACGATACAGACCTTTCATCATCACTTTTAGGCTCCACATCAGAGTCATCTGCATCGATTTCTCGTGGAACTATCTTATCCTCTGCTTCTCTCTTTGAACCTACAAGTTACAGCAGGAAAGGAATAAGCCATCACTAGGCAACAACATAAACAGATTATTGATGCAGAGTTCATTCCACGGACCTTCTAAGAGTAGCTGACTTGAACTTTTCCGACGGTCTCTTTCTTCTGCAAGCAAGAAGATGCATTGTTACTGATTGTACATCCCAGTAACAAATTTATCCTTGGACTTATCCTAAAGGGAAGACAAAAGAACGAAACAGAGAAAGTAGGTATACCAGCATAGGACTTGTCCTTGGAAGAGTAGTGCTTGCGCTCACGTTCCTCAAGTTCCTCCCTGGGGTTCCTCTTCTGTAACTCCTCTTGGGTCTGTTGGCCGTCTTTCCTGTACACATGGCAGAAATAGTGAGTCATGGAGGGACAAACAGCCTGACATATTGGCAGCGAAAATATCCAGCCAATCTTAATTCCTGGTTTTGACATAGACAGACAGTGATATAATATAATTATAAGCAATATCTTAGCCATTTCTGATCGGGCTAGCTGTAATTCCCAAATACCAACAGGAACATACACATCTTTCTAAGCAATAAGTTGGTGGTGCTGAAATTTTCTTTGACTTAACTAAGCAAAGGCAGTGATTTGGATTTATAAATGTGTAAGTTGACATTGACATAATTAGCGCCTCTCCAAAGTTTTTTTTAAAAAAATACACTGTAGCTGCCCCTTTTCGGTTTGCATTTGTAATCCAAATTCATCATTGCTGTCATAATGATCGTCAGAGATGGAGCAAAAGCACCTTCATCCACCTACTGAAGCAGTTCTTCCTATAATATAACTCATAAAGCAACTCTGAAATAAGCGTAAAAGGAAACTGATGCTGGAAGAAATGAAAACTATACCACCCATCTTAATATTTCAACATACTCTTCAGCACTTGACAAAATTGATTGGGAAACATCAATGTAGGCACTCATTGTGATTCAATTATTTAAGTAGCAGTAATAAATAACAGGCTAAACAATAGAGATTAAGCAGTCTGTGCCGTACAATTGGCGTGGCAAGCACAAACTTCTTAAGGGTAGGGTTGGGCGCCTGCCTAGGACAAAAGAAAGGCCACATCCTAACGTGGACCCTCTCACGCTAGGATCGTCTGACGGCAGGTGCTCTAATCATGGAGTCTCCCAAATTGAATCGAAAATCCTGCCAAGGAACAGACAGACCCCTTTTTTCCCCCCAATGGATCCTCGTGTCGCGGAGCTACGCTTAAAATTAGGTAGGGCGGTAACAGAGAAGAAACAGCGGCCATGAGATCTCCGGACAGGGGGCAACCCCAGGCGGCGAGGATGATTTGAGTACACGAATCGATCGGCGGAGAGATAGATAGATAGAAGGGATGGGTGCGGACCTGGGCTTGAGGGAGGTATGCGCGGCGAGGTCGCGGGAGGGGTACTTCTGCGAGGGGCCGAATATGCGAGTGCCACCCTGCTCGTTGCCGCCCTTCGCCGGCGCCCAGGTGGGGCGCGCCGCCGACGTACAGGAGAAGTGAAGGGGAGAGACGGCGCGGTGACGGTGAGGTCGGGGACGCCTCGGCTGGGCCGAAGTCTGTGTTCGCACTGACTGATGCATCCTGGGCCGTCCGGCGGTCTGGCCCGTATGACGAACATGTTCACGGTACCGGCCCACCATGAGGTTATAGACTAACATCGGGCCATGGCCCTTCTTTCGTCACCCTTCCATTCCATTTGTTTCCTCCATTTCCAAGAACAAAATTTGAAGTTCCTTCCTTCCCATCCCGTGTCACATTCAATCTGTAATTGCTGATGATTCAGCTCGGTTCGAGTAATGGAAATTTATATTTCCCCCAAAAAAAAGAATTAAGAAATGACCTACTTCGGCTCAAAATAATTCAACCAAACAATCAAAATACGTAAATAACAACTTAAATTAGGATGTGTAAAATAATAGGAGACGGCTGACTTCTTTTACGAAACAAGGTAGACGCTGATATACACGTAGGAACCTTCAAGAGACAAGGGTGGGATGGAACATCTGAAATTGCCGAAATCGTCACAAGCATCTCTCATTTAAATGGCATGTCATCTACCATAAAACAAAATATAGTCGGAGACACAAGCATCCTTTATAAGCATCCTTTTTTGCTATTTTTTAGCCCGATTTGCAATTTCAAAAAATCATTTATAGTGGCGGTTCTCTAGAAGATGCATGTGAAGTTTGTGATTTTTACTAACCTTTTACACTAACGGTTGGTAAAAAAAACCCGAAGGAAAATAGATTTAGATCCGCTAGTACTAATGTTCTGCCGGTGTTATGAAATGGAGCCTCATATCCTGTTGGGCATGTTGTACCATACAATACAAGGAACCTAATAACGATTGAAATATACTTAGTTCACAACAGTATGACTAGCTTGTTACAATTGAAAGCAACTCAAAGTTTAAATATTGCTCCTTTTTCCAACTCAGTGGTTTCCATTTAACATTTGTAAATTGTAGCTTAAAATGGTATTTCGATTCATTATGGCACAAATGGTCCGCCTTTGACCCCAAAAATTCACAAAAAAATAGTTCCATCTTTACAAAAAGAAATATGCCACCTTAAATAATGAAGTTGTGCCCACACACACAAAAAAAAATGTTCAGTTTCATTAAAAAGATGTTCCGATTTAAATAGAAAATATTCTACGTTGTCAATCAATATAAAAATATTCCAACATATTACATCACAAGAAAACTATTCCAACTTAAACAAAAAAAAATATTCGAGCATGCCAAGAAAATGAGTTGACCCATTATCACTATATTCCCTACACGCTAATAATTAATGTGAGCTAGAGGAATAGGCCATTCTATTAAATTTAAAGGATATGGCAGCCTGGCAGGGCTCATGATGCACCAACTTATCAAATATATATGTGTGGTGGTTTCTCAAAGCCAACACCCTATAAGTGTCGTTGAGTTTAATTTGCTTTGCGGCAGAAATATTGATGGTTCATTCGTTGTGCTCGTGTACAAGGAAGTGTAAGACGATAATCAAACCTACACATGCATGCATGGAGTATATAATCGTAGGAAATTAAATGTCCCTAACAACCGTAAGTGTATTAATTAAGTGAAAAGAGGGGACAATAGTGGATGTGAGTAGTGGTAACAGCAGCAGTAAACATCAATTTCATTAGCATGGAGTTTACGGTATAGTATGACATTCAGCGATGATACACCTTTGTACCATGTGTAATGGATACGTGTACCCTTTTTAGTTAAAGTCTTCCTTGCATGTCATCTTTGCTTGTTGCCTGAGGGAAAGAATATTATTCTTTTGGATTTATAGTTGGAGTGTTGAAACTTGAAAACAGCTAAGAAAAGGGAAATTGGTCGCTAGGATAGTACGTCCATCCTTTACCTGCTGGATATCTTATCTTACTATTACTAATTAGATGTCCCAACGGAGAAATTACGTTAATTCTCACCAGACGCGCTATGAAAAAAGATAAATCCTAAAAGTTCTCGCAATAATCTATTAATTAGAAGCCCCAGTGGATGCACCACGTGAATTCTCACCAGACGCGCTAGGAAAAAAGATAAATCCTAGAAATTCTCACAATAATCAGAAATATCTAGCCTTTGATTTTTTTTAATGAAGACACTCAAACGAGTGTCACATCTAGTAAATCTCAAGGAAAACAAAGTCTGATATAAAAGATGGACAAAAAGACACAAAACAACCTCTAAAAATAAGAGTGCATCAAAAACCAAATCGATCGTCTTCTTCCTTCGAACGTCCACTGCCTACCGACGTTCGAAGATCGTACTGTACGTGAAGACAGCAAAGAAAAAGGACACCTGCAAACACCCTCGTCAAACAAGGCCTAGAAGACCGAAAAAGCCACCCACCACATATAACGAGATCTAGTACCCACTTAAACAACATCGGCTGAAGGAAACCTCCAAAGGACGTGGGCTTACAATCCTTCACCATCAGAAACAGCGTGTTGAAGATGCCGGACCTTGCTGTAGAACATATCAAAAGAAGAGATCGAAATCGCCATATAGAAAGCCAACCAACTGCTTCCACTGATAAGCACACAACAAGCCAAGATCTGAAGAAGAAGAATAGATCTGACAAACCAAACTCTCACTAGCCCTTCACCGATGCTAGATCAAACATCATCAAGGAGAAGCCAGAGAGATTATTGCAAGCAATCATCACCACCACCACCTCGACAATGACACGAGAAACTAAAACCTAGATCAACAATGGTCCACAAACCTAACCAAGAACTATGAAGGGGAAAGAGATCGGTCCCACTCCTCTGTCCACCGATGAGATCACTGGTTAGGAGAGAGGAGGGGGGCCGAGCGGGGTCGAGGGCGGCGGCGGCGGCGGTTGGGAGCGCGACGCTCGTATTCGCGTAGGAGAGGGTAAATACCCGGTCTTTGATTTGATAGACTCTAATCATCGTCAATGATACTAGCCATTAGATCTACTGTAGTTTATTAAAAAATTACCCACCACTACCATTATGAAAAATACATAAAGTACCCCCTAATTTAAATTACTCACCTCTGCCATTACAAAGCATAAATCAAAATAACCCCTATATTTGTATATAAATTATTACCCACATCAACCATTATAAAAAGTAATTCAAACTAACCCCTAAATTTGCATCTAAATTACCCACCTTGACCATTATAAAACATAATTTAAAAATCTTTCCAGACGGTTTCCACAAGTTTGGCCACGGTCCGCAGCAACCGCTAGACTGCTACTAGATGCTAACGAATCCACGGCGTATCAGGCGGACGACCAAGGATCCTACCCCATACACGTCGCTGCATGGTCTAAAAGCCTCGGCGTGGTGAAGCTCCTGATGAAGAGGTGTCCCGACGCCACCAACCTGCGAGATGGCAAAGGACGGACTTTCCTCCATGTCGCCGCCGAGAAGGGGTGCCACCGTGTGGTTCGATATGCTAATAGAGAAATGCCACAGCGATTGTCATCGATGATTCTGAATGCGCAGGACAACAACGGGGACACTGCGCTGCACGGTGCTGTCCGTGATGGGAACCTTGCCGTCTTCAACACTTTACTTCGGAATCCACGGGTACGCTTGGACATGACAAATAAAGACGGGATGACACCACTGGATCTTTCATGGAGTATGACCCCTTCAGCAATTCTTGATTACGTGTTTGTAAGTAAATATCCGATCCTTTTCTCGGTTCGAAGCAGCTAGCTCGTTTATTTCCTCAAATTCTCTTCTCTCTCTCTCTAGTTATTTATTTATAGTTATTTTTAGTCATTTTTGTTCGATTTAATTAGGCTTAGGACACCTACCTTAAATCAAACAAGTTATAAAGACCGTTATAAATGCTAGTATAATAATAAAAAATTATTAATCATAGGAAAATTAAAACTCGCCTTAAATGGGTGACTATTGTATTGTATACAACCGTACCGTTGTCAGTTTAAAAAGGGCGAAAGGCAACAAGCCACGCAACTACGCATGCATTGCTCACGAGCTCATGTGACCAGACTATATGAGTGATGCGGTGCTAGTTAAGGTTTTGCAGCTCTAAATCCCGATATAGTGAGTCTCTGTTTTTTTTATCCTTAAAAGCGAGAAGGGGGAGAATAAGGGATGGATAGACAACCGAGAGAGTGACTGACGGAATGAAAAAGAAATTTATCGTATTTAATATTACGCAAATATATAGGTCCACGGGTGGCAACGGGACATACAGTTTGTTGCACGGTGTTCGTATCAATGAGAGCTAGCTATTTTTGTTGGATTTAATTGGAACTTGGCACAATCTTAAATCAAATAAATTCCAAAGCACATAGTAAATGCTGATGTAATAAAGGATCACACACAACCGTCCAACAGGGATCCGACGGACCTAGTATCTTTTATGTCATTATGAGTTAGAGCAGTGTGTCCAAACACGATATTGAGTCCAATTCCAAAACAAATTGAAGTGTGGAGCATTTACTATATCCATACAAGTTAGAGCAGCATGTGTCCGCCACTCTCTCACATGCCCTTAAGAGTTAGAGCAGAATTTTCAGGCATGGTGTGGAGTCTGATCATAAAACACATTAGAACGCATGACACTATTATTTATAAATCTCTAACCCTCTCATACCCGTACCGGCCAGTTAGAGCAGTCATAGTACGGAATTTGATTCCGAGACAGATTAAAAGACGCTATCCTTGAATAAATCTTTTAGCCACAAATCATTCATGTGATCACGCAACAAGCTGCACGTACTGTTGCAACACTGAACATGTTTGCTAGTTAATTTAGTGACAGTAAGGTATATTCATCCAATAATACTCACGTACTCTTGCAGAATCCAAGAAGTGTTGTACGGCTTTCATTGCTCTTTGCAGGAGCTCCTCATGGTGGAGGTCGGCCGGAGCTCTTCTGGGAACAACACATCACCAAAGTAGACGAGGACAAAGAGTCACAGAAACATACAGATGCAACGCAAGTGATGAGCATTGTCGCCGTACTTATTGCGACCGTCACATTTGCATCAGCTTTCACGTTGCCTGGTGGTTATCGATCCGTCGGGGACTCATCTAGCAATAATCACGCTGGGACGCCGGTGCTTGCTGGGAGCTATTTTTTCGACGCCTTTATCCTTGCCGACACCTTGGCATTCGCCTGCTCCACCTTGGCTACCTTTAGCCTTGTCTATGCCGGGGTGCCGGCCATGGCCATCTCCATCCGCCGCTACTACATCGACATTTCGTCCGGGTTGCTGCAGAGTGCAGGAAGGAGTTTCGTGGCCGCTTTCGCCTTGGCCTTGTACCCGGTGCTGGCTCCAGTTGATCATACAATTGCAGTGACTGTCTGCGTCATCTTTTTTGCATCTTTCCTCTGGGGAAACATGGAAGCTTGGCGGGTCACCTGTGGGGCAAACACGGTCCGTGCTCGAATTGGGATACGGCGATTTCCAGTATGGGATTACGTACAAGTAATATTTCTTAGTGTCTTGGTACACTTTTGGTCGTACATAATAATCCTTGGTCTCCCAGCAATTCGGAAGTGGGCAAGTAAATAATAGGGCATGTGTCAAGATGAGGAGCTAGCTAGCTAGCATTATTATTATCATGTCAAAACAATTGTCCACCTATGTAACTAATGCTCCATTATTACATTTGGGTTTTATTCTGCTAGCTGCTCAACATCATGTTGTAACCGGTATTATTGCTACTCAACAACTCTTTTTATTTCAATTCATTGTTAATATCATCTTTTTATTGGAAAAAAAGTTCGATGCTTCGAAAAGTTCTCTGCGGCTTTAATTTGGGCCTGTTGGGATACAAAGTATTTTTGGAGTTTTAGAAACATATGCCATGGTTTTGTGAAAAACTTTGGTTTTTTTAGTACCATGAAGTGTTTGCATGGAATTATGGTTTTGATGCTACAACATTCAAATAGGACCTTGATTTCCGGCACATCAACCACATTAGTTTTAGATACACAAAGCGCATTGATTTCCTTATCCTCTCCATTTCCAAACCGGGGCATAATAACAGGATTTAATTTGAGACTTGACACGAGATTACGAGACACGTGTTTAAATTTGAGTAAAAATCATGAGCAGTACCTATACTTGTAGGGCCTTAGGCCTTTCGCAGTGTTGGCTTAGAGTGAAGCTTGAAGAGGTGAGAGAGTATATGAGCATCACTTCCAACACTGCAGGTCAGTGAAGCTGGTATCAAATTATTGGGAGCGGCGCAACTATAAGAACCAATGCAAAAAAGGAATAGGCCCAAATAAAGCAAGGTGAGCAGCGGAAGCGTGTGTAGGGTATTTGAATTAGTTTTTTATTGGTTGATGGGACCCATGAAACAGTAAATAAGTGAATTAGTTTTTTTATTGGCTGATGGGACCCACGAAACAGTAAATAAGTGAGGTTCTACACTGCAGCCTAGTAACACCGATGACAATTCCTCGTTCGTGGGCCCATATTTTTTTTCTAGCCTCACACTGCATGGTTTGATCCATAATTATCTTATGTAAACAAAGTGTTGGCCTTTGTTTACCATCTACACGTTTGAAGTGTATATATATGGTTTGATCCAGCCATGCTTTAATTTGTACATATAATGAGTTTTAGCCTTTTCTTGCTTGTTGCCCCGCCCCCCCTCCCTCCCCTGTTTTTCAACTTTGTTTTAAAGTGTAATAGCATGTGTGATGGGTACATTATAGGTGTACCCGGTCCTTTTAAAAATTTTCCCTTGCATGCCATCTTTGCTTGTTGCCTGAGGAAAAGAATATTATACTTTACCTGATTTAAAAAAAAATATGGTTGGGGTTTGGAGTGTTGAAAGCAGCTAATAAAAATAGGGGTTAAACTAGTCGGTAGGAGCTAGCTAGGAGGACACGATCACACTGGCGAGATGGATCAGAGAGCTGGCTGGAACTGTCGCGCTCACTCGCATCGCAGATCGCAGACCCAAATCCGGACAGGGTCTATTCTCTCCGCACGTGCACCTTTAAACTTGCTTTAATTTCTCTCTCTGTTGCCATGCATGTGCATGCACGCACGCAACGCGTATGTAGCCCTTTGCGTGCTGCTGGCCGCCCAGGAATATATTGGATGCATGTGCATTGATTCACACACTCTTTCTCTCTCTCTCTCTCTCTCTCTCTCTATATATATATATATATATATATATATATATATATATATATATATATTCACTCTCTCTCTCTCTATATATATATTTTAGAAAAGAGAATATATTAATATTTCAGCTTCTGCATTGACTAATGCATATGGCTGTTCATTATTACAAGCGAGCAAAAAAAGTCTAAGGAATCTCAAACACGAAGTTTTGAACCATGAATACAACAGAAATCTGAAAAAGGAAAGACTAAAGAGCAATTCTGTTGCTAAAACGCCAGCCGTGTCTAGCAAACACCTCCATCGCGGCCGTCTCAATAATCCTACAGCCCGCCTTCATGAAATGGCGATCCTCCTCCTTCTGAAGTAATGTCCAGTACCTGATCCAATGCATTCCCTTGAAGATAACTTGCAAATAAGACGGTGCTATGACGTTGTCAAACACAACATCATTTCGAGTTAACCAAAGAGCCCAACAAATGGCACTTGCACCCACTAGAATTTGAGACTTCCTTTTCCTATTTAACCCTTCCAACTAACCTGTAAACAAATTGTGTACACTAGTTGGGGGTTTCAGGTTAAAGGAAATAAGAACAATTCTCCACATAAATTTAGCATAATGACAGTCAAAGAGTAAATGTTGTATGGTCTCATTAGTGGAACAGAAACAACACTTCCTATCTCCTTGCCACTGTCGCCTAGCTAAATTATCCTTGGTCAAGATTACGCCTTTGTATAAATACCACATAAAGACTTTAATCTTGAGAGGTAGTTTAAGTTTCCAAATTAAAGTGTTGTAAGGTAAAGCCTGTACACCGAATAATGCTCTGTACATGGAATTAACTGAAAACAACCCTTTCTGATGCAGCCCCCACACAAAGCGATCCCTTTGGTTTGTTAAGTGTACATCTGCAACCATGGCCACTACATTGTGCCATGCTTGCAAATTAACCCCCATCAGAGATCTCCTGAAAGCTACATTTAACGGCGTCGTAGATAGTACCGTCCTAACAGATGCACTTTTCTTTCTCACAATGTTATATAGTGACGGGAAGAGCGTCGTGAAAGGGCGTGGCGTTATCCACGAATCCTCCCAAAAACACACTTGGAATCCATCACCTAGATCAAAGCCCAAAACTGAGAGTCCCCGGGCATGTATTGAACCTGAGTGAAAGTCTTGTCCCTTAAATACTTATTTTTAAGCAACTTTTGCCAAACACCATCACCATTTATCAGTTTGAAAAGCCACTTGTTTAAGAGGCATTTATTATGGACACCTAGATTTAGGACACCCAATCCTCCTTGGTCTTTTGGTGTACATACTACTTCCCATTTTGTCAATCTATATTTCTTCTTATGTTCATCGCTTTGCCAAAAGAACCGAGATCTAAAATAATCTAATTTTTTCAAAATTCCTCTAGGTATTTCAAAGAAGGACATCATGAACATAGGAAGACTACTCAGAACCGAGTTAATGAGGACAAGCCTTCCACCCACCGAAAGCATCTTACTCCTCCAACCACTCAGTCTCTTTTGAAATCTTTCTTCCACATGTTTTCAGTCCTTATTCATTAGTTTTCGATGATGCATAGGAATTCCTAGATATCTAAAAGGGAATGATCCTACATTACACCTGAAAATTTGTGTATAGTCCAATTGATTAACATTAGCTGCTCCATAACAAAATAATTCGCTCTTATGAAAATTGATTTTTAGTCCCCATAATTGCTCAAAGGCACAAAGCAAGAGCTTCATGTTTTTGGCCCTCTCTAAATCATTGTCCAAAAAGATAACAGTGTCATCCGCATACTGAAGGACTGAGAGTCCTTCATCGACCAAATGCGGAACCACTCCACGAATTTGTTCGGCCTCTTTTGCTCGTGAAATGAGTATAGCCAGCATGTCAACCACTATGTTAAACAAGATTGGAGATAACGGGTTCCCTTGCCGCACTCCTTTTCTTGTTTGGAAATAATAGCCTAAATTATCGTTGACCTTTACTGCAACACTCCCTCTAGACATGACTTTTGAAATCCATTCACACCAAACCGGTGAGAATCCTTTCATTCTGAGGACTTATTGTATAAAAGGCCACTTAAGATTATCATATGATTTTTCGAAATCTAGCTTTAGAATCACTCCATCTTTCTTTTTCCTATGCAGCTCTGTATTGTTTCATGTAGTATTACAACACCTTCCATTATAAATCTTCCCGGAATAAACGCCGTCTGAGACGGACCTATCAATTTATCTGCCACTTTTAAAATTCTATTATTTAACACCTTCGTAAAAACCTTGAACGACACGTTTAAGAGACAAATAGGTCTGTACTGTTGTATCCTAGTCGCATCCATGGTCTTGGGTAATGGTGTAATTACCCCAAGATTTAAACTATGAATATGCAGTCTCCCCATATAAAATTCATAAAAGAGACTCATCAAATCTTGCTTGACAACATCCCAAAAGAATTGATAAAATTCTACAGGAAAGCCATCCGGACCTGGTGCCTTATTATGCTCCATATCAAAGATTGCCATTTTGACCTCTTCCTCACTGAATGGAGCCACCAATACTTCATTCTCCTCCTCCGACACTTGAGGTATATCATGCCTTAGAGTCTCGTCCAATGAGAAAGAATTCTGTAAATGAGGTCTAAATAATCTTTTGTAGTAATCGGTTATATAATCTTTCAAATTCGCATCCCCAACAATAATTCCTTCTTCGTGTTCTAGTTGTGTGATTTTTGTTTTTCTATGTCTCCCATTTGCTATCATATGAAAATACTTAGTATTATCATCTCCCTGCAACAACTTTGTTGCTTTTGATCGTTGGAGCCAATAAATCTCCTCCTCTCTTAGCAACTTAGTTAATTGCCCTTTAAGATGGTATCTAAGCTCTATCTCCTGAGATGATAGCAAATCTGTTTCTGCCTTTCTAACGAGGATATCTATTTTATCCATCAGGTCTAGCTTATGTTTCTTGTTTTGGGAGACTAAATTTCTAGCCCAACCTCTAAGAAAACTTCGCAACCTCCTTATCTTAGACTGCCACCGTTCCAAGGGTGTTCTACCCCTATTTGCAGACTCCCACACCTCTTTTACCAAATCAAAAAAACCATCCCTTGTCAACCACCCTAGCTCAAATTTAAAATTCCTAGTGTTGCCTCTGTGAGATGGTTCCCTTACATCAAGTAAGAGTGGTGTGTGATCAGTGATTTCTCAAGTGAGAGCCTGGACGGTCGCCAATGGAAATTTTTGTTCCCATTCGGTTGTCACCAAAATACGATCTAATTTCTCATAGGTTGGAATTTCAGCATAATTAGCATATATATATATATATATATATATATATTATGGTGAGTTTTCTATACTTCCAGGAGTAGTTACCCCACCGAGAGTATATGCATCAAGTAGGAGTCGGGGCTGGTT